CACCTTGAATTAGCTCCAGAGGCTCACCAGTAAGCTACTGCAGTTTTAACAGAAGATGTCGATATATTTACGAATCCCCACATTCAGAGGGGGACAGGCCATGGCATCTGGCACCAGCTGAAAAGAACTCTCACAGTACTAAGGCTTATAAAAACATGAAAAAGAGTCTGGTTATGTACAAACAATGCATCTAATAAAAGGCACATCTTAGCCCATGCTCCAAGGCTCTAAACATGCTGTAATGAAAAACTCCGCACAATGCAAGCATAAGCACCACTGCTAAAAGCACCAGGATTCCCTACCAGGGTTGCCTCTATCTTTCCTAGAATCAATTTCACTCCTTTGAATGTCAAGTTGTATAGCGTGCAATAGGCTGTCAGACTACAGTTCACATCAGCTCTAGCCAGTACAGCCAATGGTCAGGGGGTGGTGGGAGTTGTAGTCTTCCAATATATACCGGGCCACACATTCCACATCAGTGGTTTAATTTATCCATTTGCCAACAACTTGCAGCAGTCCTTTATGCACAGATTTTGAAAAAAAATATGCTGCTGGATGTTAACAACATATTGGCAACTCTCAGCTCTAAAGTCCTAGATGGTTTCTCTCAGGAGATCTTTAGAACATCAGTGATACCAATGCGTCTTGAAAAGCAAGGCTCTTGGTTGAAACTTGTTTATACATATTACATTAAAGTAGTGTAGAAAATTAAACATATCAGCTTAATATAAAGCGTGTGTGTGTGAACATAAAAACAGCAGTCAATAATTTTATGTCACTAACACACTTCAGAAGTATCTCACCAGAAAAATTCACTAGGAAGAATGTAACAGCTGGATTGTTTTTCTTTTCCCAGATTAACCATGAAAAATGCATTTCCCAGTGTCCAAACCACTACAGAAGAAGCTATACTCTCAGTACCTATAGATCTCTCTTAAGAGCAACATTCTGACTAAAGTTTCCTGAGAACACAGACAGACAGAGCCATCAATTCTGACATTCCTTTCTTCTGTGGGTGCCCACCATACTGTAGGTTAAAACTGAGTTAATTATAAATTAACTCAGTGTACAGTGGGGTCTCTACTTAAGAACGTCCCTACTTAAGAACAATCCAACTTAAGAACAGCTCCATTTGCTAAATTTTGCTTCTACTTAAGAACAGAAATCCAAGATAAGAACAGGAAAAAAAAAACCTTTCCTGCTCTTTTTTTAACCTTAGGTCATCTTAGGTTAAAAAAAAAATTCTCCCCCTAGTGGTAGAGTACGTATTAACCAGCTTTGCATTAGTTCCTATGGGAACTAATGCTTCAGTGTACGAACGCACCTCTACATAACAAAAAAACAGCCAGAACGGATTAATTGGTTTTCAGTCCATTCCTATGGGAAATTTTGCTTCAACTTAAGAATGTTTCAACTTAAGAACACCATTCCAAGTAGAGACCCCACTGTACTATCTCCTTGTCACAGATCTCTAGATCAGAGTCTAATGTGACCCTTCAGAAACATGGCATTTACTCAAATGAAGAAAGGACTGCACCTTCCTAAAGGTGACCACTGAATTCTATGGAACTAATTAAGGCTGAAATTTGGAATCTAGTAGACATAAACTTTCATGTAAACTGGGATCACATGTTTGGGAAAGTAGACATGTTTTGACTTTGCCTTCTATACATGTAATCCACAGTATACTAAATTATTCATAAAGGGGAAAAGTCAACAAACTCCCCACTTTTAATCTTATTGCTACATCTTGCCATCTGCTTCCACCTCAGTCAACAAGGTGATCCTGAGAAATTTCCGGCTTAGATATACAGTACTACTGGAGTAGGATGTATGTAAAGTAAAGTAACAATATTACTTTATTGTTACTTCCATAAAGTAGCAATATTGTATAATTCCACATGGTTTTCTGTCTCAAGGTTCACAGTTCAATGTTGACTGAAAATGCAGAGAAAAGTTCAAGAATTTTCATTACCCATCTGCATTCCTTCAAGTGATTGTACAGTTTGGCTAAATTTCCCTCAACAAATCTCTGTACATATATTCTTTTCCTAAGGTTCTGCAACAGCCTTTCTCCAGCTTTTATACAATCGTGTCTCTGTTGCCTTGTGGAACAGTATGCTATTTGCACAGAAAATATAATAACAGGTGATGCATTTTAATATTAGCCATACTGAATGTTTTGTTGGTATCTTACAGACAATATTGCCAATTTAAAAACTGAAAATAACTTCCAATAAAAACAACCAACTCACCAATGATCTTTTGCATTCATAAAATGCAATCACGAAATCTTTGCAATGACCTTCCTTGGCACACTGTTTGGGGGTTTTACCATCCTGTTATAAAAGGCATCAGAATAAGTGGTCAAAATATTTATTCAACAGGCAAAATAATAATAATAATTGCAACCATTTATAACCAATGTTTCAAAATATTTTTCCCAAGACAACTTACAGTTTGAATAAGAACCAACAGTTAAGCAATTCAACTTTAATGTTTTATTAGTATTATTTTATTAATTCTGCAAATTGCATTGAAAAGTCTTTCAACTGTCCTGAACGTTTTTCACTTGTGAATAATCTTCCTCGCTGTAAAATGCTAGACTTTACATTGTTTGGAAGTGGCCTTCTAATCATTCCCAGACTGATGGGCAGCAACCGTTGCTTCTCTATTATCATTGTTGATGTGTTTCCTCCATGGCGTTGTGTTAACACACATCTGAGTGCTCCAGACCAGCAAACTGCTAAAACTTCAGCTTTTACAGAGGTGATTACACTTGCTCATGATGAGTTACTCAAGGGCATTTGGTTAGCAGCACTTGGCTGCTACTTAGCCTCTTAATTTCTACAGAAGCAGTAAGGGTGTACTTAGTTTTTCACACATGGCTTCTTCATTTTGGCTTTATTTTTGTAAAATAACTCATGACACAGTGTAATATATCATGTATTGTTTGTTGTTCATCTGAGGTTGTATTTACCTAATTTTCAGACCTGCTAAAGACCAGATGATTTTTATTATGTCTTAATACATAAAACCACAGAATTTAAAGAGGTTATACTTTCTTTGACCAAACTCCGGGAGGAAGTAGAAGACAGGAGGGCCTGGCATGCTCTGGTCCATGGGGTCATGAAGAGTTACAGTTCATACGACTGCAACATGAAATTATGCTTGCAGAACTGAGCCAGTGTTATACCTGGCAATAAAGAGTTGTGCTATGCAATTGTGTAATTGGTTGAACATCCCCAGCACAACCAACTGCACAATATGCTGGTGGGTAGCACTTCTTCCTCATTGCTATCTTAACTATCATGGGTACAATATCAAGTTGTGCCTGCAACAGGATTTTGACCATTTTTTCATAGTTTTACAAGTATATTTAGAATGTTCTTGACCAACAAGAATGCTGCATATTTTTACTGTAGTCCCTTTCATATGCTAAGCATGCAGCCCTAAATACTAGGCCAACAGGGTCCAAAGAAAAGCATTATTATCAAATTAATGTGACTATGACAATGCACATTCCAACACCTTTCTGAAAATCGAGTTATGGACAGACATGTCTCCTGCAGTCTATTACACTTACAAGCTTATTCGTAGTTGCAAAACTACTATAATTCAAGAGTTAGAATGAGCTATATATGTATACATGTCAATGAGAAACAGAATAGTGTGTGTATGTTATATCTTATTGGCATGAAGAAAACAAAACAAAAATAAAAAAGACAAAGATGTGGCATTGTAAAGACTAACTGCTATATTTTAATGTGAGCTTTTATGGACAAGTTCACTTGTTCAGACACACATGTGTGAAACCTGTGACCTACACCCCTAATTATCATTAGAAAAAAGCTTATTTAAAGAATAAAAAATACCAAAGGC